GGTTTGCCCATAGGGCTGTTTTTTTGCGCTCTGGAGGCTTCAGGGAAGCTTCTGAAGCCTCTGGAGGGCCTCCGGGGGTGAGAGAGGCTCTTTTTGTCCTCCCCAGGCTCCTATAAAGGCTCTGGAGCCTGGGGAGGGCGACAAATGGCTTTAAAAAAGGCTGAACTCAGCTGACAGGGCAATGCCTCGCATGCCCTGACAAATGGCTCCACGTGCCACCTGTGGCCCACGTGCCATAGGTTCACCATTCTGGCTCTAGACTCTTCTTAAAAACATCCAGTGATGGAGCACCCACAATTTCTGCAAGCAAGCTGTTCCACTGGTTAATTGCCCTCACTGTTAGGAAGTTTATCCTTAATTCCAGGTTGCTTCTCTTTTTGATTAGTTTCCAACTATTGTTTCTTGTCCTGCCCTCTGGTGTTTTGGAGAATAATTTGACGCCCTCTTTTTTGTGCCTGCCTCTCGTTCTGTCTCTCCGGGCAGCTGGAGATGTTTCCAGCAAACTCTTGCCAGTCCCAGCCCTGCCCACAGCGCCAGGCAACCTTGCAGATGAGAGCCCCTCTTTTCTGCAGCTCACCTTGTGGGTCTGGAGCAGGGGGCGACCACAGTTTGCACTGTCAGGCCTAGAGCTTGGGTCTTGCTCACATTGCTGCTACAATAAGGCAGAAAACTATGTGGCAAGTCGGAATCAGCTCCTCCCCTTTCTCTGGCTGCTGAGCCTGTTGTTGCTGGCCTCACAGAGCCTCATCGCCCTCCTGGCCGCACTACTCTCAGCAGCCCCGCTGGGCTGATCCTGCCGACATGGGGCAATTTGGCCAGGGCCCCCTTCGCCAGTTATCACACTATCCTGTGCAAGCTCTGTGGAAGCCCTGCAGGGGGACAGAGGAGGGAGGGAGAGATCACCCTTCCTCCTTTGTACCCCAAAACCCTGTCTTCCCTGCCCAAACCCCCTACTTTCTGAAAGAGTTTTCCTCACCATGCCCGTTTCCTCTCTCTCTCCCTCTCCAGCATCTCAAGCTTAATCAAACTGTGATGGAGGGTTGGGTTGGGTTTCCTGTGAGCACAGTGCTAAAAATTAACATTTCTGAAATTACCTGTGGAGGTCTCTTTCAGAAAGTAATCTGCAGTTGGGGGGGAAAGGAGAGTGCGAGGTCCGTGTGGCACCTTGCTTGGCCTCCTGCTGCCTTTGCAGCCACAATTAGCGGCAAAAAGCCACAAGACTTGCTGGAGGCAGCAGCCTGAGTGGCACCCATGAAGCAGCTGTTTCGTGGATGGTAGGATGGCCCTTGGGGAAGCTGGCGTTCAAATGTGAGGAACTACTCGCTCCAACCCCGCCGCCTCATACTGATACATGGGGAGGGGGGAATAAGACTTCCTCGAAAATAAGGCCAGAGCTTATTTTGGAGTCAAAAGAAAATAAGTCCGGGTCTTATTTTCGGGAAAACGCGGTAGCTATAACTTTATTTGGTTCTAGTTGTTCGCAGATCTGTTTTTCTTTTCAATTATCTTTTCCAGGATCTTCAAGTTGGGTTGTTTAGAATATATATAATACAAGTTGTTTACTTTTCTTTCTTTTAATTCATAACTTACACTGTTCCTTCCTGCCTTCCCTCCCCTCCCTATCCCTCCCCTTCCTTTTTCTTTCTACCGGTATCACCTTCAGGTCACTTTTCACTCCTGGAGAGAATCCCTGCAGTTTTCTTGGAAAGATTTTGGAAGTGGTTTGCCATTGCCTGCTTCCTAGAGCTAAATTTGTGCACAAGAATGGAACAGAACTTATAATCTCAACGTTTCTAACTGATGCCTTTAACCATTATGCCAAACGAGCTCTTTTGCAACTGATGTAGCTTGATCATTTATTATAGGTTAATTTAAGTTTAATATTCTTAAAAGATAAGTTGGTAAAACACAAAAACAATACATTGTTTTCTTTAGAAAATAGAAACCTCTTGAAACAATCAAAGTTCATCACAATTCACAAGATACCTCTAGAGACCACCCATCAGGATATGACACATTCTTCTTTCCATAGTTCACAAGTGCAACAAATATGTGGTGGTTATGCTACATCAACTGGAAACTATACATGTAATCCTTGACTTAAGACCACAATTGAGCTCAAAATTTCTGTTGCTAAATAAGACATTTGTTAAATGAGTTTTATCCAATTTCTTGTCACAGTTGTTAAATGAATCACAACAGTTGTTGAGTTAGTCCAATGTTTGCTAAGTGAATCTTGCTTCCCCATTGATTTTGCTTGTCAAGGTTGCAAAAGGCCACATGGCCTTGGGACACTGCAATTGTCATAAATAGGAATCAATTGCCAAGCATCTGAATGTAAATCACATGACCATGGGGCTGCTGCAATGGTCCTAAGTGTGAAAAAAACGGTCCTAAGTAACTTTTTTCAATGTCGTTGTAATTTTGAATGGTCACTTAACATACCACCTACATTGAATCTTCGAGATGTATTACTCTTGATAGATTGGTTTTTTATGAATGTATCCAATAACCTTTGAAAGTCATTCATTAAAATTATATATAATATATATATATATATATATATATATATATATATATATATA